TCCTGCACTTCCAGTCACAGAAGAGACATGTATTGATACAGTCCCTTTGGAGCCATCCTTCCTAGACTTTGATGTCCCTATTGTTATCAGGAAAGGTAAAAGGAAGTGTATTGCACATTACATTTCCAAACACCTTTCTTATAGTTTTCTCTCTCCATATTTTCGCTATCTTTCTTTTGTTGCTTCTAACCCAATACCCAGGTCTGTGTCAGAAGCTCTTACTATTCTAGAATGGAGGGATGCTATGAGAACAAAAATTGATGCCCTACATAAGAATGACACTTGGGAAGTGGTTGATTTGCCTGAAGGGAAGGAACCAGTAGACTATAAATGGGTTTTCACTATCAAATATCATGATGATGGTACCATTGAAAGGTACAAAGCTAGGCTGGTTGCAAAAGGTTATACACAGACATATGGGATTGACTATCTGGAGACCTTTGTTCCGGTTGCAAAGATGACTTCTGTGAGGGTTTTGCTATCTCAGGCTGCACATTCAGATTGGCCACTTTACCAGCTGGATGTAAAAAATGCATTTCTGAATGGAGAGTTACATGAGGTCTATATGTCTCTTCCTCCAGGGATGTGTGACACAGATATGGAAGGGAAAGTCTGCAAGCTAAAGAAATCTCTTTATGGACTTAAACAGTCTCCTAGGGCATGGTTTGAAAGGTTTAGGGCTGCCTTTGTTAACTTTGGCTATATACAGACTTAGTCTGATCATACCCTCTTTGTGAAGAGGAGAGGCTCTTTAGCAGTATATCTGATTGTGTATGTTGATGATATTGTTGTGACCGGCAATGATGTATCAGGGATTAATGATCTTAATCTTTCCTTCATACAAAGTTTGAGATCAAAGATCTGGGGGAATTGAGATATTTTCTTGGCATAGAAGTTGCTCGATCTAAGGATGGGATCCTTATCTCTCAATGAAAGTATGTGCATGACTTGCTCACTGAAACAGGGAAGATGGGTGCTAGACCAGTTGCTACTCCTATTGATATGAGTCATAAACTCTCTGCTTCAGATGGAGTATTGTTGAAAGACAAGGGAGTCTTCCAGAGGTTACTTGGGAAGTTGCTCTATCTGTGCATAACTTGGCCAGACATTGCATATGTTGTCAGCTGCATTAGTCAGTTCATGCATGATCCCAAGGATACTCACATGGCAGCAGCAGAACGAATTCTGTGTTATTTGAAGGATTCTCTTGGAAAGGGAATTCTATTTGCTAAGCATGGTCATATGAAACTTGAAGCCTACACAGATGTTGATTGGGCCGAAAATATTAATGACGGAAGATCTACTTCTGGGTACTGTAGCTTGGTGGTGGGTAATATTGTTTCTTGGAGAAGCAAGAAACAATCAGTTGTTGCCAGATCTTCAGCCGAAGCTGAATACAGGGTCATGGCTCATGGAGTTTTTGAGCTGCTGCGGCTTCGATCCTTGATGGAGGAACTAGGTATTGAGCATGATAAACCATTAATGTTATATTGTGATAATTAGGCTGCCATCAACATTGCTCACAATCTAGTGCAACATGAGAACCAAACATATTGAAGTTGACAGACATTTTATTCGAGAAAGGGGGGCTTTTGGAGAAGTTTGTCTACCTTTTATCTCTTCTGAAGGACAGTTAGCTGATTTCCTTACCAAGGACAGTTAGCTTGGCATATGCTCAGCTTGAGGGGGAGCGTAGAGAAGATGGTCCGAATGGCCCATAGACTATTTTCTTCTTTTGTTTCTTTGTGTTCTTTGCTGTAATGGGCCTCAACTTGGGCCTTTTCTCTTATGTTATATACTTTTAATTATTCACCTAACTAAAGGCCTCTCTGTAAATTACTGAAATTAAGTTAAAGAAAAGGGATTAGGGGTGTAAGAGGAAATTATGTTCGAAAATCTCTCTCTGAACCCTTATTGCCGCTATCTTCTTCTTCCTCTTCTCTCTTCTTGAATCTTGATTTCTACTGTTCTCAATCACTTTTCTACAGCTTTTTAGACAGTCCATTCATATTAGAAGACTGTTTTTCTTCTGGGCGGTAGGACCATTACATTCTGCTCCCCTTTTCTCTTATTTTCTCTGCCCTTATCTTCCTCTTGTCTTCTGCATCTTCTCTCCTTTTCTTTATTTTTTCTTTGCTATTTTCATCATAAATCTTTTTTCTGTTATCAACTGTTACAACCAAGTTTGTATCAGAGCAGGTTTAGTGCTGAATAGGATTCTCATGTGGGCTTGATCCAGCCAGCTACATGGGAGGTTTTTAGGGTTGGAGTTTAAGGTTCGTGGAGGCTATTGGAGTTGGTAGCTGCTGCCCAAAGCTTTCTTTGACTTCGGAAATTGCCCAGTGACTAGGAAGAATCAGAGAACGCAGAGTTGTTCAAGGTTTAGGAGTTAAACATCAGATTGGAAGTGATGCTCAATGTTTTCTGGGCATATTTTCTCCTTCCATTGAGATAGACAGCTGATAGAAGCCATTTGGAATTTTCTAGAGGGAGTGATTATTCTTTTTGGGTTTTCTCCATGATCTGCTTTAGATTTTTCTCTGGAAAGTGATCAGTCCTTGTGATCAGCAGGTTCTTCTCTCACTCCTTTTTTTCTTAGAATTGTAGGAGGAACCAGTGGACTGTTATCCTTTTTGGTTGTTGTATAGCCCTTCGGAGGACACTTCTCTTAGAGAAGGGTAGAATTGGGCTGTTCTTCTTGGGTTGGGGAATTACTTGTGCAATGTTCAGTATGGAGACTGTTGGGAATGAATAAAAAACACATGGGGAGGGACTTGTGGGTGTTAGAAGTGTGTCAGATACTAATGCTTTTTAGATCACCACGGTTAGATTGATGGGACAAATTAGTTGCAATGGGCTCAATTAGCCATGATGGCCATTGGAGAGAGGAAAGTTGGGATATTTGACTGGAGACACTAAGAAATCAGACGGGGAAGATCTATCCCATTCCAAATGGGTTTAAGAAAATTATTTATTAATGACTTGGTTGTGCAACTCTATGCAGCCCCACATTAGTAAAGATTATCTTTGGGTGAAGACAACCAAGGAAATTTGGGAGAATATGAAAGGAACTTACTCTCAACCTCTTAATGTTAGAGCATTTGATGAATTAAAAAGTGAAGTAAATAATCCTATGTAGGGGGAGAAACCTGTATTGGTTTACTTCTCTACCTTGGAATCTTTATGGCATGAGATTAACCTACTTAGAGACAATTGAGTGGGAAAGCTAGAAGGATGCAACAACTTATAGGAAGTTGGCTGAAACAAATAGTGTTTAAGTTTCTTATTGGACTGAACTCAGGTTATGATATTATGAAACAACAACTACTTACTAGAGATTGCGTTACCTTGTCTCTGGCCTACTCCCTAGTACACAACCGTGTATCTCATTAATAGAGTTCCAATCACACAATCGTGTATGTCATTAATAGAGTTCTATCCCAGGTCCTAGATATGAAAACTCCTTTTTTCTTTACTATACCCTAATAAAGATTTGTTCACTATTCCCTTGAAAGGTTATTGGGTGCACTTGTTTTGTTCAGATTTTGAGACCCCATCATTCTAAATTTGATCCTAGGCCACCAAGTGTATATTCCTTAGTTATGCACAAAATCAAAAGGGTTATTGCTACTATGGTCCTCTCTCTATCTCTCAGTTTGTATCTATGGATGTTACCTTTTCTGAGGATATTCCTTATTTTCCTAGGGTTTAATCTTAAGGGGAGAGTGGTGAGAAGGGTGTTCTTGCTCCTAAAGTCCCATTGCCTATTCTAATCACTGAAGGGGAGTGCAAGTGAGGGGGATTGCATGCTTGCTCTGATACCAAAACATTAGGAATTTGCCTAATACAAGGGAGGGGAGGTACTTTTTTGAGGATATTCCTTATTTTCCTAGGGTTTCAAGGGGAGAGTGGTGAGAAGGGTGTTCTTGCTCCTAAAGTCCCATTGCCTATTCTTATTACTGAAGGGGAGTGTAAGTGAGGGGGATTGCATGCTTGCTTTGATACCAAAATGTTAGGAATCTGCCTAATACAGGGCTCTTTGAGGGAGCCAACCTCCAAAGGATGAGAGAGAGAGAGGTAGGGTGGGGTGGGACTTCTGTTCTAGAAGTCCTGATACGACCCCTTCCAAGACCCAGAATAAACTGTGACCAGAATCATGAAACCAACCCCCTTATACATACAGGCCAAAAATGTTGACAGTTTTACATACTTGAATTGTTGGGTTCTTGAAGCACTTAAGTATGATCCACATTTATTTGCTTTCACTTTCACTTCGAAATTGTTTTATATGTTATGCTTACGCATTTGACTTGAGCTAGTTAGGTTCTTAAAACATTTAATTTCTTTTAAATCCAGGTTTCATTTGTTTATGCAATAATGTATTTATTTTTATTTTTTCCAAACATTTGCACCTACCTCAGGCACTAGAAGGCCCTTGTACTTTCTTGCCCCTCTCACTTTTAAAACACTAGCTTATGTAGGCCTCATAGGGATGGAAACGGGGCGGGGCACCCCCTCCTTATCCCCGCCCCGTGGCTAAAATCCCCGCACTGTCCCCGGTATCGGGGTAAAGATTCAACCCCCATCCCCAGCCCCGTCGGGGATGGGGAATCCCCGACATGTACCCGCCCCGCAACCAATGATCTAGGGGCGGGTAATCCCCGACATTTCCCCGCTCCGATGACTGTATCCAACTCCAACTTCCAAAAGTTTGAAGAGGAAATCAAAGTTTTGGCTGTAGAGCCTAATGCCGTTCATTTCACTATAAAATTAATTTGAAAGTATTTCTTTTTCATGCTGATATTTTGAGCTATATTTCTCCTTGTTCTACTACGAAAAACCTTGTTTTCCTTATCATTCACAATATATCAAATGAAAAGCAACAAAAAAACAAGGTTTTTACTTTTTACCACGAAAGAGATAGAAATACTAGCTGAAATATTTTGGCATGAAAAATTTCCATCTATTTTACTCTTGTTCCTGATTTCACTTCATTTCAGGTTTTATTTTACTCATTTGCTTGGCAAACAAACAAAATGAAAGAACACGGCTGCTGCCATGTAAGAACAAGACTAGTTCTAAGCACTTGAAAAAATAGAAGGAATGGCTGAATGGAGCCCATGCCAAATGGACCTATATTCCATTACCATTTACCAAGTTCCAACTAAAAAAAATAGAAGCGAGATGCTGGAAACATCAAGCAACATTCAAGAAATTCTTCTGAAATAGGTCCATTTGGAGAGGAGAATGTCTGTATTACTCCAAGTTTTCTTTCTCAATAAGTCAATATCTATATCCATTTGGAGAGAATGACTGTGGATTGGCATTTCCTTTGTCAGAAACCACTGAGATGCTGTAGACATCTTGACCCTACAAAAGAGGTAATCATAGAAAAGCTTCAAGAGGTAATCATAGCTGCTTTAATGATATATATTCATTCCTAAAGCTTCATCAAAGTTCCCAGAGCAATAAAGAGTTATTATATGGAGATTAAGTTAAAACTAACCTGATAGAACTGTGCACCAGACTCCACCTCACTCAAACAACTTTCTACTTCAATCCACAACCCCACTTTCCTAAAACAATAAAAAAAAAACTGAGTTAGTATATGGAGATTAAGTTAAAACTATATTAGAATCATCACTATTTAAATACTTTATCATCTATATCTAAATCATCACTATTGATGGTGTTATAAGTAAAAGGATCCTCACCAACAAGAGCATCTACATAAAAGAAGAAAGTTAATTATTAAGGTGAAACGATGAACATTCATTTTTTTCAAGATATAAAGATTCGATTTAAATAACATTACCTTGAATTTCATACGCCAACCAATTTTGAGAACACATCAATGCCTCTGATGTCTGGGCATGAAGTCTACTACGATGTGGACTTACTATCCTTCCCCCAGTGCTAAAAGCAGACTCTGAAGCAACTGTGGAAATATGAATAGCTAGCACATCCCTGGTAATTGTTTGTAAGGTAGGATACTTGAGTCCATTTGACTTCCACCAAGCTAAAATATCAAAGTTCTGAGTTCTAGGCAATGCATTTTCTTCCAAATAATGGTCCAACTCTGACTTCAAATATGTAAATCGGATTAACTAAAGTTTCACTACCATGTCCAACTTCTTTATACTTGGATTTGGATTGATACTCATGAAGCAAGTCATTACACAATTGACAAATCCTCTCAATCTCCTCCAATGCACCATCTGCATATATCATAAGAAAATAATACTCCATCAACTTCATCTTATATCTTGGATCCAACATTGCTGCCACACCCAAAATGCCATTAATCACACACCAATACTTGTTAAATTTCTCCAACATTTTCAATGTCATATTCCTTACAACTTCACATGAATATGCTATTCTGATATCACAAACTTTGGGAATATATAAATTTGTTGTGGGATACTTAGTTCCTGAGAATAACTCGTCACATTATAAATTATAAAATAATTTTAACCTCCCACAAATTTCCTTTGCCAACTCCCACTCTTCCTCACTTAGCAAACATTTATATTGTGATTCGCGTTGCCTTAAGCGAGAGAAAAATCCTTATAAATCAAAGCAGTATGAAGCATCTCATATGTTGAATTCCATCTGATTTTACAATTAAGAGACAATTTCTTACTACTTTGAATTTGCAACTGTCGGGATGTTTCCTCAAATTTTTGTTCTCTTTTGGGAGTTGCTTTCCAATACACAATACTGTCATGAATTTTTTCAGTGGCATCTCCAATCACAACTAATTCATCTTGTACAATCAAGTTAAGTATATGTGCACAACAATGCATATGCAAGAATATTCCATCCAACATAAGTGAATTCATAGAAAGCTTATCCATAATATCATTGAAAATGACATCATTTGTAGTGCAATTATCAACAGTAATTGTAGATAACTTTCTATCAATATTCCAATCTAAAAAACATTCCACTAACATATTTGCAAGAACCTCTTTTGTGTGTTGACAAGGCACATAAACAAACCTATAACAATAGATAAAATGGAAAAAAAGCTAGGCAATAAAAGTAAATACAAAAAATGACAACTTACTTGAGAATAGATGTTATTCAAAACTAATAAAATTAGTATAATATTTCAGAATAAAGTAAAAGAAATCAGAGAAGAAGAAGGAGACAGCAAGAAGAAGGAGTTCGAATGTCTCCTCTTTCCCCTACTCTTATCTTTTATAAAACGTACTTTAGTTACATAAATTACAAGGAGGCCCTTAAGTAGGCGTCCACATCAGCACTAAACTTAGAAAAACATAAAAAGAACTAAAGGCCCAATAAGAAAACATAACATGAAAGAACTAATAAGGACACTAATGGGCTAGGGCCCATTTGGCCTAGTCTCTCTGCACTTTCCCTCAAGCTAAGCATAGATATCCATCACGCCCAGCTTGCTTATATAATGAACCAGCTTTCCTTTAGGAACACCTTTTGTCAAAACAATAGCCAATTGTTCTTCAGAAGCAACAAATGGTAGACAGACTTCTCGAGGCAACTGTCTCGTATAAAATGCCTATCAATCTCAATGTGTTTAGTTCTGTCATGTTGGACAGGGTTGTGTGCAATGTTGATAGCAGTCTGGTTGTTACAATATAACATCATTGGCTTCTCACAATCTATACCCAATTCATCTAAAAGTGATCTCAACCACAAAAGTTCAGAAATTCCATGTGCCATTGCCCTGTATTCCGCTTCAACTGAAGATCTTGCCACTACAGATTGCTTCTTACTCCTCCATGATATAATGTTCCCTGCTACCATAGCACAGTAACTTGAAGTAGACCTCCTATCATCAATACATCCGGCCCAGTCAGCATTAGTGTATGCTTCCAGCTTCATGTGTCCATGCTTAGCAAACACGATACCTTTCCCTGGAGTTCCTTTTCGATAGCACATAACTCTCTCAATAGCTGCTAAATGTGTATTTCTGGGAGAATGCATAAACTGGCTGATTACATTAACTGCATAGGAGATATCTGGTCGAGTCATGCAAAGGAAAGTAACTTCTCAACCAGTCTCTAGAACACCCCCTTATCAGGCAAAAATTCACCTTCAGTCGCTGACAACTTATGATTTAGATCAATAGGAGTAGAAGTAGGTTGATCCCCCAGTTTCCCAGTCTTTACAAGAAAATCAAGAACATACTTCCGTTGAGAAATGAAGATATCATCCTTAGATCTGGCAACTTCAATTCCCAAGAAATATTTGAGTTCTCCCAAGTCTTTAATTTCAAACTCAGTGTTAAGAAAACTCTTGAGATGAACAACTTCCTGAGTATCATATCCTGTAACCACAATATCATCAACATAGACAATCAGGAGGGTTACTAAGTAACCCTTAAGGCCATAAAGAGCAGCCTGAAATCTGTCAAACCAGGTTCTAGGAGACTGCTTAAGGCCATAAAGAGACTTCTCCAGTTTACAAACCTTTCCTTGCATCTCATTCCCATACACCCCTGGAGGTAAAGACATATAGACTTCTTTATTTAGGTCCCCATTCAAAAAAGGCATTCTTTACATCAAATTGATGAAGAGGCCAGTCAAAAGCAGTAGTTAAAGATAGCAAAACCTGAACTGAAGTCATCTTGGCTACTGGGCAAAAGTTTCTAAGTAGTCAATATCATACATCTGAGTATATCCTTTAGCAACCAATCGGGCCTTATATCTCTCAACAGTACCATCAGAATGATACTTAATAGTGAACACCTACTTACAGCTAACCGGTTCCTTTCCCTCAGGAAAATCCACAATTTCCCAGGTATTGTTCTTATGCAAAGCATCTAGTTCAGTCATCATAGCATCTCTCTATTTTGGTTTGGACAAGGCATCTGGGACAGACTGGGGAGTTACATGTGTGGAAACAGAGGCAAGGAAGGAATAGTAGGAAGGGGAAGTGGTTGTGGAGAAAAGGGATTGCTAACAGATTAGAGAAGCTAATGAGAGATTTCCTGTGGGAGCCGGGAGAGGAAAAGAGGGATCATAGAGTTAGCTGGGAGATAGTGTGTAGGAGTAAGTCTTGTGGTGGTTTGGGGCTTGGGAGTATTAGGAGAAGGAATATGATTCTGTTGGGGAAGTGGTTGTGGAGGTTCCTTATGGAGAAGGAGAAGCTATGGGCTAGAATAGTGGCAAGTATACATGAGTTGGAGCACAATGGATGGGATGCTGGAATCAGAGCTAGGACCACAAGCAATTCTCCTTGGAAAGCCATTCATGACCTGCTACCAGTTTTTTCCTCTAATATCAGGTATGACTTGAATTCCGGTAACTCCATAAAATTTTGGGAACAAACCTGGGTGGGGAGCGCCCCTCTAAAGGATCAGTTTC